TTTTTTAAGATCTAGATATTTATTGTCTCCTTATTTAAATTGTACAAAATAGTTTACATGTGTTCAATAATAAAGCTTTACAACAAATTCGTTTACATTTTTTTGAGAGATTTGTATAAGGGTTAAATACATTTTTAAATAGAAAAATTGGAATTAAGGATACTTGGATTATGCAAAGTATCCTTAATTCCAAAGGATACTTTGGATACATAATCCAAGTATCCTAATTATATCGGCTCAGTCAAGTCATACGCGTAAAGGAATCAAGTTTTCGCTTGAAACTCAAATTTTCGAATCCTTATATCTTTGCAACCTTTGCAACCTTTGATATATCAAATTTACATTATTTGATCTGACAGAATTCATAGTTTGAAATATCAAATATCAACGACATCGAGTTCAGAGATACAGAATATAATAAATCTGAGTTTAAAATCTGTAAAAAAAATATATAAAAATCTTAAAATATGAGACACCATTGTGGCTTATATAAAAAACCCGCTACTCTTTATATTTGCATCATATAGGAGGTTAGACCTTAAACTTAAACTATTTTTAGGAAAAATAATATTTAAATCGTCTAAATTAATGTTTTCCCATGGCTTCGTCAATATCGACTTTTCTAATCAAGGAAATAATATTTTCTCAAATGAAAAGAAATTAAGTTATTTTTAAAAAGTTAGATAATTGATTGTTACTTCAATCAGAGAAAAAAAACCGGAAAAAATGGTTTAAATGGTAAACAATTTGTATACAAGCTTACAAGTTTTGCAACCTGAGTTTCGTGCTGAAAACATTTAGGACAAGTGTTTAATTGCGTGTTATTATACTATATTCTTAATATTATTTGAAAAATTTCCATTTATTTACCTTTTCCTAGATACACAGTGTGTTATTTTACTGTATTCTTGATAATATTTGAAATATTTTCATTCACTTACATTTTCCTAGATACAGAGTGTGTTATTTTACTGTATTCTTAATATTATTTGAAATATTTTCATTCACTTACATTTTCCTAGATACAGAGTGTGTTATTTTACTGTATTCTTTATATTATTTGAAATATTTTTATTTATCTAAATTTTCCTAAAGACTGCAGGTTGAAACAATTCCGGTTTTATAAATAATACAAAGATCCTGAATTTTCTTCCTTTAATGCAAGTAATATTTTATTTCTGCCAGCTATACTTGTCTTAAATGCATATTTGACTGCACTATTCCTGTGTCTTCAAACTTAATGTTAAATTAAAAAATAATATTTTCCAGGTTTCTAAAGTCCATTTTTAAAGCTTACATTACACGTATCATTTATAAATAATCTGAGTAGATAATATTCACCATTTTCATTTTGTCATTCGGAAAAAAAAATAATTTCCGCTGAAGAAAATTCAAGGTCTGTAAAAAAGAAAGCTCGTTTAATGTCTTAAAGGGAGTGTTCGCGAAAAATGAGAGAGGGTATAGGCTTACGGCGAAAAATAATCGCTTTTGATTGCTACTAATCTTACTTCTAACTGTTGCGTCTATGAGGAGAGAATTGTTAAGGACTACTTGTGCCGAAGAACGTAGTGTCCATACAAATTGAGAAAGTTGCAACATACAACTCAGGTTTTAAAAAATCCATTTAATATAAAACAAATCCTTTGAATATTAAAACATATAGTTATCGATTATTTTTCGACACATTCATCTACAGTTAATATTTCATAATATTTTGTATTTGTTTTATATACAATGCCAATTATATAGTTTGTCCGCCAGGTGTCTCTACTCTCGAGGCTCTTATTGATTCCATGTGGCAGAGACACCTAGCGGAAAAAGATCGTTGTTTTCGAGAACACTCCCTTTAAGTGAAATGAAATAAACATGTTTGGAAAGAGGTCAAACTGGGGGTCATCATACATATTTGTTTACTGTTTATGTTAGTGCAATTATATAAATTCAGAGGCGCAACTAGGAATTTTGCTAGGGGGAGCAATATATTAATTTGTAAGGGTCTGTGTGGGGGGGGGTTAAGGGGGGGTTATCCCCCCTTTTAGAAAATTTTTCAAAAACAAAGGTGCTTTTTTAAGGGTTTGAAGTCGAAAAAAAGGAAATTGGCTGTGTTCAATTCAAATCTATTTTTTGTTCTTGTGTTTTTACAGCTGTAAAATGAATGATATGAGTCAATTCATTGAATATGTGTGTGAATCGCAAAAGAGTATTTTTTAAGTACCTGGTTTAAATACAGATTAAATTGCAAGTTATAGTTTCTGGAAAAAAAAACAACATAAAAATACATAAGTAAATAATAAATTCAATCATCTACATTGAAAAAGGACAGATAACGTTACCTTTTCTCTTGAAGTTATTGAATTAATGATTGATCTAACCAACATTCATAATCTAAATTCATTTTCGATTTTATAAAATTTCTGTCAAAGAAGATAAATCTTGTTAGTTATCAAATATGATAATCAGTTAGAAATTTGCCAGGTTCAGAATTTTCTCTAGATTTGGAACTGAGTTTTTGTCACAAACTCAAACATTCTAATCCCTAAATCTTTGCACCGAGTAGTGTAAACATTTTTCAAACTTGGAATATTTTACCAAAAGAATTCAAAGTTTGACTTCAGAATTTTTTTTTACATTAAATGTTTACAATAGCCTTTAGCCTTGAGAATTGAGAAAGATAAAAATTTTTTTTTTTTTTTAAACTAACTATAGTATTATAAAATTTCTACAAAACTCCATTGGTTTTCTTATTCCTTTGATACAGATTTTGCCATTCTTTCTTTCTTTTCATTCTGCAGGGGGTGGGCGCCCCCCTCTCAGGTGCTAGGGGAGGGCGTGCGCCCGGTCGCCCCCCCCTGTTGCGCCTCTGTATAAATTAAGGTGAAAAATCGATGGAGGTCAACATGATTGAGACCTCCGATACTAAATGTTCTCCTAGTGAACCGTGAAGGTGAACACCTTTTATCCTTATAAAAACCACTGCATTTCTGAGGTGAGCAGTTTCTATAGAGCAAGAAAGTGTTACAGGTAAGCAAACTGTTTGAGATTTCATTGAAAATGGTAAAAAAATTAAGCGGCTATTTGAGACGTCATGCTTAAAAATTGAATTGTAATACAACATCTGTGTGTATAATAGTAAAAGTGTAAATGATACAATTTATGTGTTGTATTGTATTATTGTAAAAGTGTAAATAATACAATTTATGTGTGGTATTGTATTATTGTAAAAGTGTAAATTGTATTAGATTAAAGTATCCTCACTTTCAACCTAATACTTCGCAATATAATGTAATCACAATATACCCTCAACACAAAACTTGTGTACTCTTTTTATTAAGAAGAGGGGGCACGAGACATCAATAAAAGTTGAATTCTATCAAATATTTTGAATAATTTTCTAGAACAGTTTTAAAAAGCTTTTAAATTGGCAAACAAGCCAAAATTGGTAAAGAAAAGTAAATGTCCGGACCATCAAGAAAAGTAAATGTCCGGACCATCAAGAAAAGTAAATGTCCGGACCATCAAGAAAAGTAAATGTCCGGACCATCAAGAAAAGTAAATGTCCGGACCATCAAGAAAAGTAAATGTCCGGACCATCAAGAAAAAGTGTTTTAAAAGATATCATTTCAAAATTGAACTGGGTAATAAATTACTGTAAGCGTGAGGACAAAGAAGGGAGTGTCCAAACTAATCATCAATGGCCGATTGTTTGAACAAATTCTAACTCATTTTTTACAACTTCCTCAGACAAAATCTGACTTTATTCCTTGAGGTCTACTCTAGATAAATAAATAAACCTACTGCGGAAATATTAAAAATTCAAATTTAAGATTGTCTTCTTCTTGGAATATACAGAAATAAGGTAATCCGATAGAAACTACTGTCACCAAATATGTTTACTAATGTTTACTGGGGTAGGAAATAAGATAATCCGATAGAAACTGCTGTAACCAAATATGTTTACTAATGTTTACTGTGGTAGGAAATAAGGTAATCCGATAGAAACTGCTGTAACCAAATATGTTTACTAATGTTTACTGTGGTAGGAAATAAGGTAATCCGATAGAAACTGCTGTAACCAAATATGTTTACTAATGTTTACTGTGGTAGGAAATTTTGTGTGGAGTAAGTCCAGTAAGTGAGAACAATTTAAATGTACATTTTTCGTACTTTTTTGAGAGCTTATACTTTTTAAAAAAGTTAAGCATGTAAGGGGGTTTACGTTATTCTTGACGGAATGAGAGATAAATATATAGCTGAAAATTTTCCGATACAGTCATTGTAGTTAGTTTTACGTTATATCGATATCCAATGTGGGCACTTTAAAATTTGAAGATAAATTATTGATCCCTCAAATTAATTTTATCCCTGCAGGGTGCGACCCCTACACTTTGGTAAGCTAGCCAACACGGGATACCGAAGAGAAATTAAATAATCCGTGGGTTTGAATGATGAAGATCAATAACTGATCCTGAGATTCACAACACAAAAGCTCTCAATTCTGTTGATGTATGCAAAACATATTTTTTCAGACATTATTTTGTGCTTGCTGAGATTGAGACACTGTTTTGACCAAGCGCCACTGCAAGGAGAGAATGGGGACCCAGCACGACAGCTTGAACTTATCTGGAGACTGTGCGCTGCGGACAGGACAAGTATGCGGCCGAGCGCTGGACCTACCATTTTCTGAATCTTACTGCAATCTTGCTGAAAATAATGTTGATGCAAATTTATATTGTAACGTTTGATGGCAGTAAATATTTTGCAGCATTTAGAGGATATCCTAGATATCGATTTTCAGTATCTTTCTCTCTAAGTCTATGTCGATTTATTTTCTAGGCTCATAATAATTTTGCGAACTTTAAAACTTAATGATTTCCATAAATGATAATCTTCTTAAAATGAACTTTATATATTTATTTTATCTTTTCTATTAAAACAACGAACTATTATACTATAATGTTGTGTGCCCTGTATTTGAGTTGGTTTTGTAATAATACATTTGTACAAATACAACTGTCAAAACCATCGTAGACCACTTCACATATTTAGAAAAACTAAGAATATTTTACATTTTATTCAATATTGAAACATGATTTAACATCTAAAATAGTGTTCAATTTGATATGACAGGAATGAAACAAATTTTCTACAATTTTTATGTTTTTATTTTTTTTAATATTTGTTTATTTGCCATGCATTCCAGCAAATCTGGGAATAAATAAAAAATGATGACATGACTGGTTTAATGTCTTTAATTTATGGTTTGCCAGGGTAGAAAAAAATATCGAATAGTTCTCTTTATGTCATTGCTTTGAATTGAAATAAAGATTATTGATTAGAGAATTAAAGATTTTGGGTAATTCTTCTAAATCAAAATTAAATTTGAATATTGTAATAAACAATCTTTAATAGGTACTACCTTCTGTCCAGTGTCTACTGTCCACTGTCTTGTGACCAGTGTCCTCTGTCTACCAGTGTCCACTGTCTACCAGTGTCCACTGTCTACCAGTGTCCACTGTCTAGTGACCAGTGTCCACTGTTTAGGGACCAGTGTCCACTGTCTAGTGACCAGTGTCCACTGTCTCGGGACCAGTGGACACTGTCTAGGGACCAGTGAACACTGTTTAGTGACCAGTGTCCACTGTTTAGTGACCAGTGTCCACTGTCTAGTGACCAGTGTCCACTGTCTAGGGACCAGTGTCCACTGTATAGTGACCAGTGTCCACTGTCTAGGGACCAGTGTCCACTGTCTAGGGACCAGTGTCCACTGTATAAGGACCAGTGTCCACTGTATAGTGACCAGTGTCCACGTTCTAGAAACCAGTGTTCCTATATAAATGGCTTGGTACAGTCATTGTCGTGTATATTAATACAATAAAGACGACTTTCTATTTCAATTTTGATTACTACTAAGCTTTCAATCAGCAGCGACACAAAGTAAAACAAAGTTGTCAATTAACAGCTTCTTTTTGTTTACATGTAAACATGTAATTTGAAAAACGCTTGTCAGGGATAAAAAAAATTATTAATAAAAAGTCGTCTTCATTGAAATGATATAACGCTGACCACTGTACTTATACAGTATATGTATTAATATAACATTTAAAATCTTTAAAATATTAAATAATAAGTCCAAAGCTGTGCTTAAGCATGGCCTGCCACAAATTCTTTATTTATTTCGAAATAGTCCTTTTTACAAAAAAAATGTGCAAATTTAGCTGAGCACTAAATAAATTCAAAGTATAAAGTGCACAGTGGTATAATTAAATCATATAGAATAAAGTGCACAGTGGTATAATTAATTCAATTCTATGTAAAATATATCAAAATGATTAGTTTCCCTAGGCGAATGTTAATTCTAAATTCTGTTTCCTCGAACTCAAGCTGAAGCCATGCTCTAGAAAAAAAATATTAAAAATATTAGTTTTCTAAAACTTTGAAATCAAAACTGAGATTTCTTAAATTAGATATATTTCAATAAAAAGATACTTTAGACTAAAACTTTTTGTTTAATCACTTTTCAATATTTTTGGAACGTATTTTATTAGTTTAAATAAAAATTTGAATTCTATAAATTAGAAAAAAATACTAATATTTGTTACTATAAATTTTACCTTTTTAGTTTAATCACTTTTCTTTTGGAACAATGAGATCATGTCTATTGGTAGAGGAAATACTATTGTAGAGTTCTTCTCAGAGGAGATAGAGTTCAGAGTCTAAACATATAGAGTTCAGAGTCTAAATATAGAGTTCAGAGTCTAAACATAGAGTTCAGAGTCTAAATATAGAGTTCAGAGTCTAAATATAGAGTTCAGAATCTTAATATAGAGTTCAGAGTCTTAATATAGAGTTCAGAATCTTAATATAGAGTTCAGAGTCTAAATATAGAGTTCAGAGTCTAAACATAGAGTTCAGAGTCTNTATATCTGAAAGAGATTCAATATTATTCATATAGCAAAATATTGGTTTCCTCACAAATAAACTATTGGTTTACCCCCCCCCCTCCCTCCACTGCAAAATTCAATTTGAAAATTTGACTGCACCAAATGCATAATAATGTATATTGGTGGAACTGGAATCATTAAAACAAACAAATTAAACAGGCAGGGTTTATGATTTAGCTATTCTACGAATCGAACAACTAAAGGGCCTGCAAGCGTAATTTCAATTGACCTGATTCACAACAGTACCCTTCAAAACGTTGTCTGATCAAGTATGAATTAGATATCAAACTTCTTTATTTAGAAAACTGTTTATTTTCAATTGTGGTTTCTCTACGAAAGCATGATTTGCTTATTTCTACTGCAGGAAAACATATAGGAATTATCTGATGTAAACAGTTATTAAACTAGAAAAACGACAATATCTTTCACATTATTGATCAGATAAAGGTTTCAAGGTTATCGTTGTGAATTGCCATCTTTGCATGAAGGGTCACTTGAAATTACTCTTACAGTCCCTTTAAGTGAGAAAAATTGAGAAAAATCAAAATGCAACAACATTCGTTAGAAAATAGTCCCAACGATCTTTTTCTACTTATTCTTTGTAAAATATTCTATAATACCCTAATGCGAAGTAAAAATTTCTCTGAAACTTATCTCCTAGAGAAGTGAGAAGTAGAGCTAGCTGGGGTACCCGGTGTTGTCCAGGTTTATATTATAATATTCATAGTCATAGTTACTCGCGGCTAGGTAAAGTGCTGTTATAAATAACCCGGTTAATTTATTAATTGTTTCAAGGCATTTGATTCGTGTTTGGCTTTAGAAATAGTTTGCAGCATTTTTCAATCTAATTTGAGTATAAATACCTTTCTATGAAACAATTATCACAAAAAAACCTACAGTCCTTGTCATTTCCAAAATGTGGTCTGCCATTTTTTGGGTTTTAAGCATAGAGAATAGAATATATAGAGAGGAATTTACTAGAAAAAGTGTAAAACGGCCATTTTGTTGTACTGTTTCCATACTGCAGGTGTACTTCACATATTTATGCTATATAACCTGTTGGGCCCTGGAATATCATTTTATAGAAAATCTAAAATTATTGTTAAAAGAAAACCAAATTATGAAATAGGCTGGTTTCATAATTGACCAATGATCATTTCACATAGACTCTATGCCATCCACTTTACAAACGATGATTTTCCGTTTTAACTATAAATCAAATAATGTTTTTATTCACCTAATTCATTATAAAGTTTATTTAACATCTTTAAAAATTTCGAAATTGAAATGAATAGTCTAGGGAACATACTGTATTAATGTACTCTACTGCATATAATTTGTGAACATTTACATGATTTGTACACTTTGAACTCCCTTTCAGGCTGAAAGGGACTGAAAAAATTCATACCGAGAGATTCTTTTAATTCCTCTCTATATATTCTATTCTCTATGGTTTTAAGATTACCAGGAGATATTAAGAATTTTGTTAGGATTTCAGTTTATAAACAAATAAAAAATAAATCGTCTAATTCCGAACGAAATCATTCACTAATTATGAAAGAACAATCGGTTTTTTTTCTTCAAAGTGGCTTTAAAGCTTGGGCCATGCTCAGGACTCAAACTAGTTGTACAGAAATTCTTTAAATTCAGCCAACTAAAAGTTCGTACAATTCTGTTTATTTTAATAAGTTTTTTCAAATATTCCAGCCGCACTTAAGCAATTTTGTCGAATAAAAGGGTTTGTAAAACAAATTTTGATCGTTCGTCCAACAACTTCTTTAAGGTGACAGAATTTGATGATAAAACAACCGCCGGTTCCTCAAATTTCTATAATAGAAGAATATAGAACTAGCCTGTAGGTATCTTAGCTGCAGAGCTGCAGGACTTTGTTCTATTATATTGGAAGCTTCACGTAGAGCCCTGGAGGCTCTCATTTCTCCATCAGCTGCTATAACCTAGAATAGAATAGAATATAATAGAATAGAATAGAATATAATAGAATAAAATAGAATGGAATAGAATAGAATAGAATAGAATAGAATAGTATAGAATAGAAAAGAATAGAATAAAATAGAATAGAATAGAATAGAATAGATTAGATTAGAAAAGAATAGAAAGATAGTAAAAATATACTGTAGGTATAGTAAAGTATACTGTAGGTATAGTATAGTATACTGTAGGTATAGTAAAGTATACTGTAGTTATAGTATAGTATACTGTAGGTATAGTGAAGTATGCTTTAGGTATAGTATAGTATACTGTAGGTATAGTAATAGTATACTGTAGGTATAGTATAGTATACTGTAGGTATAGTAAAGTATACTGTAAGTATAGTAAAGTATACTGTAGGTATAGTATAGTGTACTGTAGGTATAGTATAGTATACTGTAGGTATAGTATAGTATACTGTAGGTATAGTATAGTATACTGTAGGTATAGTATAGTATACTGTAGGTATTGTATAGTATACTGTAGGTATAGTAAAGTATACTGTAGTTATAGTATAGTATACTGTAGGTATGCTTTAGGTGTGTTAAGAATAAGTAATGTAGAAAAGAAAATAAATTTTGTAAGTAACGTCCTATGTCAAGGTGTCATATATACTTATTCAAGGGTGTTAAGTGAAAGATCTGTAGAAAAAAGAACAGCATTTAATTCTTTTTTTAAAACCATATTAACTTAGACATCTAGTCACAAACACGTGTAAAGTAAAAATAATATTATCAAAATATCAAATATCTTTATGTAAAAAAAAAAATTTTGCAAAGCTTTCTTGAAGGAACTTTTTTGATATTTGTAGAAATAAAATTCTAAATTTTAATCAAGATGTGTGTTCTAAAAAGTTATGAATTGTTGACATTTTCATTGTGACGTGTTAAGGCAGCGAAGGGGCTATTATTTTTTATAAACAAAGATCTTTCTGATGTTTATTACCACAAAACCAAGATAATAAAATGTATATACAACCCTTACTCGCTCCCTCCATAGTCCATAGTTCTTCCTTATTATTATTGATATATAAAAACATGGGAAAAAATGAATGCATAATTAATATTTTTTGGCAAATATTTTGTCTTCCTAGATGATAATTTGATAATAATGTTGCCAAATATATTGTTTAGGAAACTTTCTAGGAATATAATTTTGTTAGTTTTTCCCTTTAATTAAAGTTATTTAGCTGGATTTATAAAGTTTAGTTAAAGTTATTTAGCTGGATTTATAAAGTTTAGTTAAAGTTATTTAGCTGGATTTATAAAGTTTAGTTAAAGTTATTTAGCTGGATTTATAAAGTTTAGTTAAAGTTATTTAGCTGGATTTATAAAGTTTAGTTAAAGTTATTTAGCTGGATTTATAAAGTAAGTTATTTAGCTGGATATAAAGTTTAATTAAAGTTATTTAGCTGTATATTAAGTTTAAAGGCTAAAAAGTTTTCATGACAAAAGCTCCATTGTTTAGTGTCTCCTTATGTTTCCTTTAAATAAATCCGATGGATTAAATAACTTTTATCAACTTTCCTCTATTCTTATCTCTCCCCCCCCCCTCCCCATTCTTCTCTTGTCCTTATTTTTAATTTTACTTTTTTCTATTTATTAGGTTTTTCAGTAAATTGCTTTATGTTCTCTTATTCTCTTTTTTCTTTTTTTTCTAGCTTTGCTTTTTAAGTTGATTTTTCTCAGCTTTCCTCTATTTTTTTGCTTATCTCTGATTCTGCTTTTTAACCTTTCATCTATCTTCTTTACTTAACTCCTGATTCTGCTTTTTTATCTTTCCTCTATTTTCTTTACTTACTCCTGATTCTGCTTTTTTATCTTTCCTCTATCTTCTTTACTTACTCCTGATTCTGCTTTTTTACCTTTCCTCTATCTTCTTTACTTCATCCTGATTCTGCTTTTTACCTTTCCTCCATCTTCTTTATTTACTCCTGATTCTGGTTTTTCTTCCCTTTGCTCTAGCTTCTTTGCTTATTTTTGATTCTGTTTTTTCTTCTTCTTTGCTTGTTTCTGCTTCTGCTTTTTTTACCTTTGTTTACTTTTGATTAAGATTTTTCTTACCTTTGCTTTAGCTTCTCTGCTTATTTCTAATTCTGTTTTTTCTTTCCTTTGCTCTAGCTTATTTGCTTGCTTCTGATTCTGCTTTTTTCTTACCTTTGATCTAGCTTCTTTGCTTACTTCTGTTTCTGCCTTTTCTTACCTTTGCTCTAATTTCTCTGCTTTCTTTTACCTTTGCTTCAGCTTCTTTGCTTGCTTCTGATCCTTCCTTTTCTTACCTTTGCTCTAGCTTCTCTGCTTGCTTCTGCTTCTGCTGCCATGGCTCTCTGAAGCTGCTCTGGGAGTCTAGCATCCTTTCTAAAAAGTGAAGTCGAGGTCATAAACCATTCAATTATTCCCAATTATATACATTTTCCTTTTTCTGTTTTCTGTATGGGGGATTATTAAGCGGATATTAAGTAAACCTAAAACTGTGTCTTCAACAATTTACAATTCACAATTTTGTTGCAGAAAGGAATCCAGTCTTTGATGCAGTACAATCCCAAATGTTCGAATCCCCATATCTTTGCAACCTACTGTTGTAAATCTTTGATAATTCAAACTAGATTATTTGGTCATATTTCGAAATATCTTAAAATTGGGTTCCAAAGATATACGGATTGGAAAATCAAAGTTTATAGAAAACATTTGAAGGGGAAAGTGGTAAATTGTTGAAATCACTTTCTAGCTGGAGGGTCAACTTATATCCCACTGACGACACAGAAGTTCTGATTTCTAAAGAATATCAAATTTTCTTTGTTTTATGCCAATAATGATGAACATTCCCTTTCGCGAGTGTTCGCGAAAAATGAAAAGGGGTATAGGCTGTTCCCGGCTTTTTATTTGTTGCGTCTAAAAGGAGATAATGGTTAAAAACTACCCCCTTTTAGTTTTTCGCGAACACTCCCTTTAAGATTAAATATCTATTCTGAACTTCACTCTAAACTTTCAATGTATTATTTACATTCTCCTCTCTTCAAACTATTGTATTACGTGGATTCCTTTCTTAAAAACAAAATATTTAAACGTACTTCAATATTTTCAAATTTGCAAAAATAATTAAGAAATATATTTGGAAAGGAATATTCCATAAATCTACAAACAAAGCTACTCTCCATTGAAAGAGTTGGCATGACCAATTCTCAACGATACCCTTAAAAGTTATGTCTGACCAAGAATGCCATGAGATATTCATCAAATTCTCTGATAATTGTAAATTTTTTATTGTGGCTTCTCTAGAGAGTGAGTTGCGTATGGACAAAGGAGGAAGATGTCAAAATTAACAATTTTTGGTTAGAAAATTGACGACATCTTTCACATATTTGATCAGGTTTAAACAGTACTGTTTTAAATCGACCCTTTCTTAAATGGAAGGTCAGCTGAAATTACATTTAGTAGAATGGTGGTCATATCATATAATTTTTAAATATATGGATAAAATATGATGAAAAGAATTATAATTAAAGCATGCAGTGTGCAGAATATATTTGTTAGTCAAGCAGTAAACAAGATTAGCAAATTAAAATATTTTTGTGTAAAAAAAAACTATTTAAAAATCTTATTAAACATAAATAAACTTACCAAGACTTTTACCATGGAGAAGAATTTTGTAGTTGGATTGAGTATATTTATCTAAATCTTAGTTACAGAGAAAAGAATTGAGGTTGTTGCTACAAACTCAAATTTTCTAATCCCTATATCTTTGGAATCTGTTGACGTAAACCTTTGATATATCAAACTTTAATCATTTGAGCTGACATAATTTATAGCTTAACCTATCTAAGGTCTACGACATTGGGTTGCATAGATATTGGGATTAAAAGAGCATTGTTCATGGCAACAACTCAGTTCCTCTTCTCGAGTCTTAAACCTGCATGTATAGCTTTAAGTGGTTAAACTAGGAAAAATAATTCTGAGGTGAAAACTGTTATGTAAACTAGCGCTAATCAACTGTAAACTAGCGCTAATCTACTGTAAACTAGCGCTAATCTACTGTAAACTAGCGCTAATCTACTGTAAACTAGCGCTAATCTACTGTAAACTAGCGCTAATCTACTGTAAACTAGCGCTAATCTACAACGATTAATTTAATCTGCATAATCCAATTATTCACAAAACAGAATCTGTGCAATTTTTATCAATGTTTTAATTAATCACTACTCTTACAATATCGGTTAGGTAACTTGCAGTGGGAGCCATAAAATTGTGGAATAAGAATTCGACGATGAAGCAATATTATTTGATGTTGTTCTCAAACAAATAGTTTTACTTGTAGATTGAAAATTAAACAGTACAACACAACTGAGTAAGAATTTAATGAATTTGAGCCGTGTCTCAAATCCGCCAAAAACCGATTTCAATTGAGTGGCGGCTTAAATCCTAAAACATGAATACATTTTTAAATGAAACCAACCATATTTGTGCCGCGTCTCAAACTTAAGCTGCGGCTCAAATTCTTTAGATTCAGCCTATGCTGCCCTTCTTCCTGTCTCGCAGTTTTTGGCTCCCACTGTATAAGTAGTTTTATTTCAGACAGTTCACAAACATGTTTATTAAGATGAGAAAATTATTTACATCTGAAAAAATCAAAGAAACTCTGTTTACATCACTCTGATTGATGAAGGGGAACTATTGAGAGGGTCAAAAATAAGTAAATTCATGTTTTTTTGAAATCAATCACAGCTCTTCTTATTGAAAAGCTATAAAAGTAGGAAATTTCTACTATGCATACAAATAAGCTTTTCTGAAACTTGAGACCGAATTTAATAAATTTAAATCGTGTCGCTGAACCGCTGAAAATTGGTTCCAATTAAGCGCCGGCTCAAATCTCGAAACACTGAAAACAATTTCAAGTGGAATGTTTGAGACGCGGCTCAAATTCTTTAAATTCGACCCAAGGACGTACAATCAAATCTAAAGGAGCTCTATGAGGTCACAATAGCGTACTAAAGCAGATAATGTGTTAGGAATCGCAGTTCTTACTTAAAACGTGCTCACAAAACGTTTCAACAGATAATATATATAATTTCAGTTTGGGGGTAATGAAACATCTACAATTCCTGGTTCCTGTAAGGTTATTGTTTAGTTTCCATATCGGAGTATTGAAGATCTAACTTTGGATCAACATCAGATACAATTCTTGTTAAATATAGAATACAGGAAATATTATTTTGTTCTAAATACCTAATTTACTTTATGTTAAAAAATAGTTTTTTGTTTAAATCCCAACAAAAAATTAAGATTAAGATATATGTATGTACCAAATAGAGATTTATTTCTTTAAAATTATGATATGTGTTTACATATATTCTAAATGATTACACGTTAAGCTTGAACACAACAGAAGTATAAAAAACTGTTTCAATAATGTAAGAAATTCACATAAATGACACGAGAAAAAAATGGCAATGTTGGGTTTTTAATTTTTTCAAAATCAGCTTCATCTTTGAAATAAATTCGCAGTTCGCACATAAATAAAAGTGTTTTAAGGTTAAATTGTTTCTTTTTCAAACTCATAAAGTCATAAGTTAGTTAAAAGTTTCAAACATAAAGGAATAAAATAGTATTTGCAGCGGAGTCCCTTCAAATCATCTGTAATGATAATTCTTTTGATAATTTGGCAACCAGAAATACATTTTATTATCATATTAGAGACAGAGCCACGCTTTCGTAGAGAACACCTCCCCCCGCCAAAAAAATGAGACAAAATTTTAAGATCAATCAAATACTGTTGGTTTTGATTTATGTATAAAATTACCAGGGGCGTATGCATTTGTCAAGCGGGGGAGCTTACTTTTCATCCGTCCAGGACGTGTTGGGGGAGAACACTGGAAACAACAAGTTCACTGATCTAGGGAGTGAAATGAGTCCCCCAAGCACCCAACCCCATGTTCACGCCCCTGGAAATGAGCCCCCATAGCACCCAGCCCGATATTCACGCCCCTGGAAATGAGCCCCATTGCACCCACCCCGATGTTCACGCCCCTGGAAATTAAATAACAATGCATAATTTTACATCAAAAGAATACAATAACAACTTTTTAACAGAAAGCTGTTTATCTCAAGAACTGCTTTTTCTTTATAATATATAATTTTCATGTCGTTGTTGGCACACTGTTTTCTGTTTGAAAGATTTAAACTAGGATTAAAAATAATAAAAATGAATAATTTTGTTTAAATTTTCTGTTAAAACTTTATTTCATGCCTTAGTTGAAACCATAATCTGTGTTGACTCCATTATGTCACGCCACAAGATCGAGCCAACAGTTTATGATATCCTAATCTTTCCTTTTCTCAGTTAAGCTCAGTAAATTAGAAGTTTAAGCTTGGTTGCAGCAGCATAAGATCTGTATTCAATTATTCAGATTCTTCTAGCAAAATTCTGCAAAAGATCAAGTAAAATAATATTTAATTAAACCTTGAGAGACAAATAAAAACATGTATTGAACCCACAGACTGAATTCACAACACATATTTATCATTAAATTGAAAAATTTCCTGCAGTATATTTTTAAAATTTTAGATTATCATTCATTGCTTGCCATAGAAACGGATACAAATATAGGATTACAACATTTCAATTGCATTGAATTCAACAGAAGGATAAAATGCTCTAGAATTTTAAACAAAGTATTTTTTGTATTTTTTGTATACCTAGATCTTTTTGTATATCTGTGTAAATAGATATTAGATGATATATGTGTTTAAATAAGAATAGTTCATGGTTTAATGTATAACTAAGGAGACTCCTAATCTTCATGAAGCAGGTATCGTGCAACCTCCATAGGAAACGGAAATACAATTGTATGGTTTCTCTCAGAACTGATAGAACTCAAGGTCTGAACAAGAATTTCTTTTTAAGGCGCCAAAAATAAAACCTTTTTTTAAAAATACAAGGCAAAAGTTAAGAGAACACTTCATTTTTCATTTTTTTTACAGTATATTTATCCTTAACACAAAAAACTTGTTTTGATAAAAGAAAATACAAAATGGCGTTCCTCTTGAAAGGAAATGAACCTGAAGATAACGAAGCTGAAGTGCTGACGAACTTTGACTCATAACTTCAGCGGCATCACGCAGAGCCTTCGCAGCCTTCTGCTCTCCGTCAGCAGCGATCACCTTCCAGATATATTGTTGTCAGCAACCAATTAGGTAGTTGTTAACATTCTTATTTTTATACCTTAGCTCTAGCCTCCCTTGCAGCTTCGGCTTCAGCTGCCATTGCCCTCTGTAGTTGGACTGGAAGACGACAATCCTTACTAAACAGTTGATCCTCTCTAGTCTCTAGTTACCAAACCAAACAGAAATTTTACCAAAATAAATATGGTTCACTATAGTTTCTTTAACTTTTAATGATAAAACTATGGTTCTATTTAAGGCTGATGTTGAAATATTTTTAAAGTAAAAAAACATGATCTGTTTCTTTGAAAATATTTAAATTCGTTGCTCACTAAATAGTTAACATGCGGTGAGTGCTTTTTGTGCTGAATTAAATACTTCCTTTCAAATTCTCACCACTCCCCCCCCTTCTCCTTTCACTAAGGCCCTTTCCCCCCTTCTCCTTTAACGTAGTCAAATGGTAGAAATAAATGAAAACATTTAGAACTCAAAATTTCAGTTTTATTCCCGGATTTTAAAGTTTACAGAGAATAAAACTTTTAAACTAGGTTTTAATGCTTAAAATGGCTTCCGTATAAAATTGCTTGAGATAATTGCATAGATTGGACCGGGATTAGATGGATAAAAATAAATTCAGTAGACTAGTAGACTAGTAGACTAGTATACCTAGAAGAATAGTAGACTAGAAGACTAGAAGACTAGTAGACTAGTAGACTGGTAGACTAGTAGACTAGTAGACTAGTAGACTAGTAGACTAGTAGAATAGTAGACTAGTAGACTAGTAGACTAATAGACTAGTTGACTAGTAGACTAGTAGACTATTAGAATAGTAGACTGTTAGACTAGTACATAGTAGACTATTAGACTACGAGTTTAGTAGACTAGTAGAATAGTAGACTAGTAGACTAGTAGACAAGTAGATTAATAGACTAGTAGACTAGTAGACTAGCAGACTAGTAGACTAGTAGATAAGTAGACAGTAGACTAGTAGACTAGTAGGCAAGTAAACAAGTAGATTGATAGGCTAGTAGACTAGTAGACTAGTAGACTAGTAGACCAGTAGACTAGTAGACTAGTAGACAAGTAGATTAATAGACTAGTAGAGTGGTAGACTAGTAGACTAGTAGACTAGTAGACTAGTAGACTAGTAGACTAGTAGACTAGTAGACTAGTAGACTAGTACATAGTAGACTAGTAGACTAGTAGATTAGTAGACTAGTAGACTAGTGGACTAGTAGACTAGTCGACTAGTAAATAGTAGTAGACTAGTAGACAAGTAGACTAGTATACTAGTAGATTAGTAGACCAGTAGAGTAATAGACTAGTAGACAAGTAGACTAGTAGACTAGTAGACTAGTAGACTAGCAGACTACTATACTAGTGGACTAGTAGACTAATAGACTAGTAGACTATTAGACTAGTAGTCTAGTAGACTAGTAGACTAGTAGAATAGTAGACTAGTAGACTAGTAGACTAGTAGACTAGTAGACTAGTAGACTAGTAAAAATAGTAGACTAATAGACTAGTAGACTAGTATTCTAGTAGACTAGTAGACTAATAGACTAGCAGACTAGTAGATTAGTAGATTAGTAGACTAGTAGACTAGTAGACTAATAGACAAGTAGACTAGTAGACTAGTATACCTAGAAGAATAGTAGACTAGTAGACTGGTAGACTATTAGACTAGTAGACTAGTAGACTAGTAGACTAGTAGACTAGTAGACTAGTAGACTAGTAGACTAGTAGACTAATAGACTAGTAGACTAGTAGACTAGTATACCTAGAAGAATAGTAGACTAGAAGACTAAAAGACTAGTAGACTAGTAGACTGGTAGACTAGTAGACTAGTAGACTAGTAGACTAGTAGACTAGTAGACTAGTAGACTAATAGACTAGTAGACTAGTAGACTAGTAGAATAATAGACTAGTAGACTATTAGACAAGTAGATTAATAGACTAGTAGACTAGTAGACTAGTTTGTTCAATTTCAGAAAGAAAAACGTCGATATCAATACGTCTTTCTTTTTCAAAGATAAATAGGACAATCCCTTTAATAAAAGACTTAAAATAAAAGACTTAAAAGACGACATTTTATCAAAGGATTTTCTTAAAAATCGGGACTCGGTGAATCATAACTTATTAAACTTTTTTCCACCAAAGTTAAAGGAATTTTGTTACCAAGATGTAAGATTTGAAAACCGTAACATGCATGTTTTAAAGCTGATATTTGAGTCGGAGAATATTGAGAAGTGTCCAGTATAACTCTCAAAGTTGAATGAAAAAAGTCGGAGATTTGTTGTCTAAATAAACCCCCAAAACTAAACAGAGTGTCACAAAACTCTTTTCAAAAAGCAGAAAATCTAAACCTATTTAAATCTAAGCTCATTCTTTTTAAGAAAAGGATGTCCAAAAAACTTTCGTTTGCTGAGAAAATAAGTTAAAAAAAGAGCATTCTGAAGAATTTGGGACACCCTGGAGGTTAAATAATTAAATTTGCTTACATCTCCACACGCTCAACTTTTATTCCCCACGGCTCAGTTGCTTCGTCCAAAACAATCTAAAATACAATTTTTTAACAAAAAATTAATTTCAAACTCATTTTGAATTAAAAAAACGTAATTTATTGAAAAGGGGTGAAGTGGAGGTTTAGCCTATGGGGGTGAAGTTTTGATGCGCATAAGCACGCCGATTTTTTTTGTGCACACCCCTAAAAACCGTATTAAGATTAAAATTAAAGCTTAAAATCTGTATTAATCTGTTAATTAAGCCTGTATTTTATTGATTCTATAAATAACTCTATTTGTACTCTATACTCTTATTGAACTCTATACTCTTATTGAACTCTATACTCTTACTGAACTCTATACTCTATATGAACTCAATACTTAACTCAATACTTAATGAACTCTGTACTCTATAAACTCTATATTCTATCCTATTAAAATAAATTCAATGTTCAGAGGCCGTTCCTTCCATAAACTACATTGGTCGACAACTTGACGTCTCCAAAATTGGTTGTGAAATGTACGGAGAAATGTCTATCTATCAGATAAGAATTTAGCATGAGACATCTAGCGGCCAACATATCGTCCCCCAAGTACTTTGAAATACAGACCACTTTCTATGTGTCCGACAAAATTATTAAAAATAGTGATAATTTTAGAAAAAAGTGCTTTTCTTACAGTAAAATAAGTGCAATTTTATGTGTTCTTTAGTTTCTGTTTTTACACTTTTTCATTAATCATAGAAAACATGTCAACTAATGTGAGATAATTTCGTTTTCCTTGTTATATTTGACACTTGTGTATAATTGGTTCATTTCTCTGTTGCCACCTAAATTGTATCTTGATAATCTATTTGGACTTTTTAACTTTTGAATCAATAAAAGTAATCTAAACCAGTTCCATCAATTCAAAAGTTACCGACTATGGTATATGTTTATGTTTGTGTTGGTAAGATGGTGTCTGTCTGTTCTTAATTATGTTTGTTTGTTTGCCCGCACACTGTTCCTTATTATGATGCTAAGTCTTTTATATTTATTTACTCCAGGATATTACATTCGCACCATTTCCGTTTTATGGAAATATAATCTTTAATCATCTGCATATTAAAGATATATAATCTTTAATCATCTGCACATTAAAGATATATAATCTTAAATCATCTGTACATTAAAGATATATAATCTTAAATTATCTGCACATGAAAGATATATAATTTTTAATCATCTGCACATTAAAGATATATAATCCTAAATCATCTGCACATTAAAGATATATAATCTTATTCCGCGATAATTTCGCTTTGTTTTCGCATTTTTCGCTTCATTCATTTTCGCGAAACGTTTTGTTCGCTAGAAACCCTACTTTCACGGAGTAAATGTGGCATGATCTGCATAAAGTATAATAGTTACACCTCTGGGGTCACGTGACGTCCAAAAACATTGGACCTCAACTTTCCAGAATTTTTTAATTGGATATAACAAATAATTAATTTCTAATCTGTATTCCGTGATTTGTAAGTTAAGGAGATAAAATATAGAAATTAGAGATTACGCCGAAATCATAGGGCTTACTGCAATAAGCTTAATGTAGGTAGTAAGTAGTATGAAGTACTTACTTAAAGTACTTAAAGGTACTTACAGGTACTGTAAATTCAATTTCAAGTATAGCCTTAAAAGCTTTGTCTAATCAAGCTTGAATTAAAATTAGAAGAATTAGAAATAGAAATTCAGAATTAAACGTTTCTTCCATATAATTTATAAGATTAAAGTTTCAAGGGTATCGTGGTAAATCAGGCATTTGAGTTACTTGAAATAACGCTCACAGTCCCTTTAATCGAGTACTCCTATGCATTCTGTAAACTATTCTTTTCATAATTAACTCTGAATTCCTTTTCCGATAAACTCTTCTCTACTCTATGATACATATGCATATACATATATAAACTTTGTACTCGTGAATAACTGTGCTATATGTACCTTTTTTACTTTTCTTACTTCATGAACTTTGTACTTTATGAACTTTATGTACTCTTTGAAATTTGTACTTTACTAACTGTATGAACTTTGTGAATTTTGTACTTTTTGAACATTTATAATTCATAAACAGTATGTCTTCGATAAAGTTTGCACTTTAAAAACTGTAAGAACTTTATGACTTTTATGTACATTAAGAACTTTATATACATTATGAACTGTATGTACTCAATGAACTCTGTACCTGCATGTTTCCGGAAATACTTTCTCTATCTGATAAGATTTCATGAAGATTCTTCGTACCAAGTATATTTCTGCCACCACATACATTCTTTTCTCTAGTAGGGAGGGAGCAGGGGGGTGGACTCAGAGGCGTATTTAGTGGGGGGGCTACAAGGGCTCAGCCCCCCTGTAAAAGTGGAGGCTTTGATTTTCAGGGGGAATGGATCTTATTATTATGTGTGTTTTATGATATTGTTTAATTTCAAATTTCGCGCGGTTTATTTTTTAATTATCAGAGAAGATATTTGCCGTAGTGATATAAGTAAATCTGTAATTTGTTATTTTTTATTTGTGATATAGATAACGATGTATGAATTGTAATTTCGTCTATTAACTTCAACTTGTAACATATAAAACTCAAATACAGTTGATACTGAAACTCTGCTTTGATTACAGTGTTGAAAGTAATTTGGTTTTCATTGAAACATACGAATTGAGATTGTGTCTTGTATGAGACATTGATCAATAGATCGCTATTGTCCAGTTGACATAGCAAACAAGATCGCACCCAGTAATAGTGGTGTTAATAGTTCACAGGATTGTAGCTGTGTGGATCGAGTCCTGCTTGAGACATTGATCAATAGATCACTATTGTCCAGTTGACATAGCAAACAAGATCCCGCCCAGTGGTAGTGGCGTTGATAGTTCAAAAGATTGTAGCCGTGTGAATTGTGTCCTGTTTAAGACATTGATCAATAGATCGCTATTGTCCAGGTTGACATAGCAAACGAGATCGCGCCCAGTGGTAGTGGCGTTGATAGTTCACCGGATTGTAGCCGTGTGAATTGTGTCCTGTTTAAGACATTGATTGATAGATCGCTATTGTCCAGGTTGACATAGCAAATGAGATCGCGCCCAGTGGTAGTGGTGTTGATAGTTCACAGGATTGTAGCCGCATGCAGATCGTGTCCTGTTTGAGACATTGATCAATTTATTGCTAGTTGCTAGTGTCCGTATTGACACCGATAGCTAACAGGATCGTGTCCTTCGATTGGACATTGATAGTTACGAGCTTCCTATTGATATTGATAGCTAACGAGATTGTATCCGGGTTTGAACATCGATCGTTATCAAAGGCTTTTTCTAAAACCTTTACTATGCTACGACTTATCTTATTACTAAGAGCGAAAGTGAAACTGAACTGTACCTGGATAGATACTGGTTCCAGAAATTTTTATGGAGTAGGCGTTTACAAGAGAAATTTTTATCAAAAGTGGGTGTTTCGTTTTTACAATTTAAATACTTTTTATTTCAGATTTAATTTAATAAGAATTTTGAAACAAAAGTTAAAAGTAATTCATGTTTCGCACTGGGAAAACTAGTTTCAATGATATCAGAAATTATTTCTAAATTTTGAAAAACTTTCCTCAAAGATAAAGAGAAAATTGAATCAAAACTTTTTACAGAAAACACTTCCGGATTCAAAAATGCATACAGTTGAAATGAAGAAATGTATACTGTTGAAGAAATGTATACTGTTGAAGAAATGTATACTGTTGAAGAAATGTATACTGTTGAAGAAATGTATACTGTTGAAGAAATGTATACTGTTGAAGAAATGTAAACTGTTGAAGAAATGTATACTGTTGAAGAAATGTAAACTGTTGAAGAAATGTATACTGTTGAAGAAATGTATACTGTTGAAGAAATGTAAACTGTTGAAGAAATGTATACTACAAATCTAGGAATTCGAAAAAGTCTCAAATACGAATGTTCCTCATTTAGTAATTTTAATCGCACATATTAAAAAGCAATTTTGGTGTTTTATGTTACTTTTATTATTATTATTTTTTCTGGAGTTTTTCGTCGCTATAAAAGACAATTTTAACCGAAATTTTCAACTGAGGTAGCGATTAAAAAGAATATATTCCTTAGTGTAGTTTGTGCTAGGAGTCTAGTGGAATGATGAGCGTTTTCTACATTAGCCACAGATATTGTCGCGTTAGATACCCTAAAATTTAGAATAGGTTATTGTCCTTAACTAATTCAACATGTCTTAGAATGATAAAAAGAAATAATGTTTATTTCAAGAATTTAAAATCCAAAAAAAATTCAATGTAAAATATAAAACTTTTCTCCTTTTTTCTAACATTTTTTTATTTACATTTTTTAGAAACTTGTTGTTCTTAAAAAAAAAATGTTGGGAACTTTTTCTATAAGGTTCGAAATCGAAAAAGAAAGTGTTACATTTGATATCCTGAGTGACAAAGGATAGGTGGCCTATACCTCAGATGAAATAGAGGTCATTATCAGCCGGCCAAACGAAATAAAAAATGTTGTATTTGCATCCCTGGGTAACAAAATATAGGTGGCATATCCCTTAGATTAATCGTCTTGACGGAGGAGGTAGTTTTCTGTCAAAAAGTAATATTTAGTCTGTGCCACAAACTCAAATTTTCTAATCCCTATATTTTTTCAACCTGATGGTGTTGATATTTCAAACTTAGATTATTTAATCCAACAGAATTTATAGTTTGAAATATCTAAGATCCACCACATAGGGTTGAAAAGAAATAGGCATTATGGCATCAGAGTTTGTGGCAAAGACTCATTACCTTTAACGATTTCTAAAAACAACGGGCAACGCCCTACTAGCTACTGATATAACCAAATGGTTGCATTACCTATAGTACACAACAGCATCTACGGATACAGTTACAGAATCCCTGGTCAGCACCTGAAAATCAGCTGTTTTACAAAACATCAATGCCGCCATTTTATAAAGATGGATGCCTCTGGTTTATCAATAAAGAGATAAATGTCAATTATTAACTTTAATCAGACAAATTAAAATTGGAGAAAAGGCGCTGACTCCAATTAGGTTATCTTCGAGTTTCAATTTTAAACTTTATGGATAATTAAATGTAAAGGGATAACGTCCAATAAAAAAATCTCCTAGTAGAAGGTTTTTAAAGAGTTATCTCTAGATTGAATAACGTGCAATGTAAATATCTTATAGATGTATTTTACATCATTCTATTCTAATTTATCATAATTTAAATTACATCTCTTTTAAATAAAATTTTACAGTCGGTAATCATTTGATTCATAACATTAATATTCTAACTAATTCTTTAGTGGTTAGTATCAAGTTTCATACGTGAATTCGAATATTTAATGATTTAAATCAATTTAAGACGCTTGTCATGCCATCTTTTAAACAAACTGTTTTTTTCTACAACCAAAGCAAAATGAAAAAGGGAAAGAAAACCGTTTTTTAACTTTTTTGAATTGTGCAAACATGCCCTTTTTTAGAAGTAAAGTTTTATTCATTGTGGTTTTTGCTCAAGTGAGTACGCCCAATCATCTCCAAAATATTGAAAGAATTGCCCAAGAATTCATAAAAAAGGGTTTTGTATTCAACATTCATAAAAATGAAAGTGTTACTTCTAATTTGATTCAGGAAAAATACGGTAAATAATGAGCAGAAATGTTGCATAAGAAACCCTTTTATTAAATAAATGAACACTCCCTTTAAAAATTACCTCTTGTGGCGGAACATCCAGAGTTATCGTTCTTAAATCCACTTTTTGATAAGTCTCGATACACGGTAGAACAAAAAATATTCCTAGAAGTGATTGGGTGAAAGCTACAAGGTAAACCCGACGAAAAAATTCTATGAGAACTATGGAAAACTATAGTTAACAAGTAAACCAACTGTTGGGTAAGTGAGAGGGAGGATAAATGGAAATATTTTTTAATTTAAGAAAATGATCTTATCATTCTAATATGTCAAAGGAATATTATTTGCGATATTTTTGAAGTTTAATATTTTACATTATAACGTTAAATTTTAAATTTCCAAATGCTGAGGCAATATATAAAATTTAAATATTCTCGAATATATTAAAAATTCACACAGAAGGTAACCCAGATATAAAACCCTTCATCATCAAACTTTACTGAAAAACATTGAAAAAAATTCTAATATTCACAGTTCCAGAAATACTGTCTGGAAAATTCGCCAATTTTTTAAATTCTTCAGTACTTACATGTCTTGTAAATTTGTTTTTTATACTTTAACCCCTTTTAAAATACCTAATAGTGAAATCGTAAATTTAAAGCTACGCCCCCCCCCCCCTCATCAGTGTAAGAAGTATAATGGCTTCTGAATTTTTTTTTCAGAAATCATAAATTTTTAATAGTCCTTTAAGTTATAACTCAAATTTTTTAAATAACGTGCAAAACAAAATATTAAAGCATTTAAAAAAAATATTTTATGTTGATTTCTATTTAGATATTATAGTGCTGACAAACCTTTATTATTATTTACGTTTATTCAAAGATTGGGTTTCTTTGTACTTTTTTCATTCTTTTCCGAATTTGATGTTTTGGTGTGAAACAAAATAAACATTTTTAGATGTTTTATGTTTTTTCTGTTTAGACGAAACTGTAATATTTCTTCGTAAAGTTGAACTTCTGAAGAATTTAGACTTTACGAACATTTTGTTCAGAACTATGAACAGAATGTTAGAAAAATTTACCAATTCGTAACATTCGGTTATTAAAAGTTCGAAATGATTACTAGATCTATGTTTAGTGTTCGACAGGCGCGCAACTAGGGGGGGGGGCCCAGGGGGGCCAGGCCCCCCCTAGCCTGATTAAGGGGGGGCATGCCCCTCCCTTAAGAAGTCTTGCCCCCCTGTAGGGGGGGGCAAGAAATGACGAAGTACACCCTGTTTTGCAATTTAGCGATTCATGAATCCAGACCCTGAGGAAATTTTAGAGCTCTTATCGTAAAATAAAAAAGATAATTGAACGTTAGTTTATTGAGCTTATAGTTCAATCCATATAGCACTTAATACACCATATACACACATACAGACCCCCTTCGTCTCCGAGCCTAACTACTGCCGTAGATCAGAACAGTACCTGACCAGAATAGATTTCTTGTTTCATTTTATATCAGATGTGTTGACTTATAACTGAATATCCGGTTGGTAAGATTAGTTTTTTATTGTTTAAGTATAACACACATTTTTCTTGCCCCCCCCTTAAAATGTTTGGGGGGGGAAAAAAAATTTCCCCCTAGCCCCCCTCTAACCAAATGTCTAGTTGCGGGCCTGGTGTTCGATGTTTAATTTATCTAATATATTTATATCCGAGTATTAAAATCAAATATCACTGTGAACTCTGAATTTTACTATTTAGATTGTGTTCTCAACAGCACTATTCAGCGGTGCAACATTGCAGTTCTTTTCAGCGGTTGAGTGTTACAATAGTACAGCTGTACAACTATCCAGTGCAGTGGTGCAACTGTATAGCTGTTCAGTGATGCAATATTGAAATTTTGTTCAGCAGTTGAGTGGTACAAAAGTACAGCTGCATCACTATTTAGTGGTGCAACTGTACAGCTTTTCTATGGTGCAACATTGTAGTTTTGTTCAGCGGTTAAGCGGTACAACAGTACAGCTGCAACACTATTCCGTGGTGCTACTTTACAGCTGTTCAGTCGTGCAATTGTACAACCCTTTAGTGTGGTGAAAAAGTGAAGCTGTGCAGCTGTTCAGCAGTTAAGTGGTACAGCAGTACAGCTACACAGATTATTAGTGATGAAACATTACATTTGTACGGCTGTTCAGCGGTGCAGCTGTACGTTAATTGGTGCATCACTTTATTGCATCATGTACCTCTTGAGGTGGAACAGACATTACATGTGTTCTCATGTCAACAACATGACAGTGCTCTACACAAGGGAGCTCAAAATGAAGACCTAAAATCGCAAACTCTGCTTTGAAGATAAGGATAAATATGTACGTCTACAATCCCTGATTATAATCAACCCCCCTCCCCCCCAGGATCTTGGAGATCCCAAGAAGATTTTATAAGTTGGAAAGACCAAAATTTCTGTTTTCTTTTTTTGGAGGGATTGTAGATTGTAGATTGTAGATTTTAGATTGTAGATTGTGGATTGTGGATTGCAGATTGTGCAGGATTGTGGATTGTAGATTGTAGATTGTAGATTGTGGATTGTGGATTGTGGATTGTAGATTGTAGATTGTAGATTGTAGATTGTAGATTGTAGATTGTAGATTGTAGATTGTAGATTGTAGATTGTGGATTGTGGATTGTGGATTGTGGATTGTGGATTGTAGATTGTGGATTGTGGATTGTGGATTGTGGAT